TGGACACATTTGGATGCTTTTAGAAATCTACAGAACCTTTTCGGAGGGTTCTGCAAAACTCCTTTATTTTTAGAGAATAGCTTATTCTCCATACTTGGATGAAAATTTCCATTGTTAACCGTTTGTCCTTGTTCTCGAGTCCACCTGGACCTATCTGTAAAAATACTCAAAAAAAGAATAACTTGGCTTTACCCAAGCTTTTCATTGATGTAATATGAAAGTCTAGGTGCTCTTTTGTTTCATAAAGATTGATATGTCAGTTTCATTGGTGACAATATAAAGATATACAATATCGAAAAAATAAGATTGTCTGGAACCTGTTTCATGACAAAATTGGAAATAACTAAAAATATCTTTAATTAAATTATTTTCGTCTAGAATAATGGACATATGCGCATTTGTTGATGTATGTAATCACCTACATATATATATAATGGAGAGAGAGCTCTTTCTCTTGAAGTATTTTTATTTTTATCTTTTTCATTTTCATGATTAAAAATCAATAAAAACTTGGTTTCCTAATCACAATGATGATATTTTTCATATATGAGTTTCTTTGTTGGGTGTAAAGACTTTTTTTAGTCTTCTCATATGCCTACAAGATATCATTTTGATGCTGTTGTAATGATAACGACAAACAGAAAACAAACAAAAAATGATGATCATAGTACTATAGTTGTTGTGAGGTCTACATGGATCCACAGCTTCATTTTGCTTCTGCTAGACCTAGCCATGATATCTTATACCGATATTATGCAGCAACAAAAGACTACAGATTAGAGAAGAGGTCTAATCCGAAACTGGAAATCTTAATGCAGTACTACACGAAACAGTGTAAAGTGGACCCACTTGAGCCACATGATAACAATGAAGAGTTCATGAATCATTATTGATGAAAACCATATGAACGTCAATAGGCACATTTAATTCTTTTTTCCAATACAGTTAAATTGTAGAAAAAAAGCAGCGAAATACACAGGCTCATTCAACCTATGACAGTGGTTTACATTTTGACTGACCTCTTAATAGCATTACTAATATTTGAAAGGGTGTTGGGTGTAACTGTGGTTCAAGAAAAGACCCATAACCACACCTATACTGCACACTTGACAGTAACTCTCGGCTCTAGGTCCACATCGGTATCCACCAATGGAGTCAAACAATCAAAAAACTTCATGACTTTCGTAAATTTTATACCAAAAACATGAAAAAAATAGTATTCCTGATGATGAAACGGATAAAAGATTGGATATTTTTCAAATTTATTGATGAAAAGTGCCATTTAATTAAGCAAATATAGTGACTTTCATTGTGAATCAAAATCATGCAATGTAATTAATGAAAATGTGTATTTTAATCGATGAATTTGAAATATATCCATTCATATTTTGACCAAACAAAAAAAAAGAAAGGAAACAAAGGCACATATAAAGAAGAAAACTGATTTTAAATCTAACTAATATTCATCGTTCATTTCATATAAAATGGGTAAAAAATGGTTGGCATCGATGCAAGAAATAAACATCTTCTTGATTTGAAGTATATTTGTTCTGCATGTTTATTGATACTACGAGATCCTGTACAATTCAGTAACTGTTGTCATCGACAGTGTCAAACATGTTTAAATGCTGAACAAGAGTAAATTTCCTCATTCATTTGACGCATTATTATCCATTGTTCTTTCTCAAGAGTGACAATTAAATGTCGACAATGTCAATCAGAAATATTACAAGTCGAGGTAAGATAGGTTTTCATGATTGAGAAGAAAATATATTTCTTTTTTGTAGATACGGCTTGATCAAGGTATTAAAAATGACATGAAATTATTACCCATTGATTGTTGTTTTTGTTACTGGACCGGCGTCTTGAATGACTATCAAGTAATTTATTTTATATTTATTTTATTCTTGAATCTTTTATCATTTTTCTTTCGAAGGAACATCTCGATCAGTTCCATTCAAATTGCAAATGTGATTATTGTGATAAACAGTTCAATTCAGTTAACACATTCAATGAACATAAAGTTTCAGAATGTCCACAACGGATTGTTGACTGTATATTGAAGAAATTTGGTTGTAATGAGCCAGTATGAATATGTTCTAGATAAAGTGAACATCGTAAAATTCGTTTTGTTTAGATTGTCCGTGGCAAATTAACAGATCATTATTTGACTGAACAACATCAGTATGCCATAATCAAAGTTGTTCGGCCAATATTATCGAAATTACAGGACAGACAAATGGGTGTAGATCATTCTCCAACAACAACTGCAGAAGTTCCTGCTACAGCTCAATCAGAAGAGCTTTATGAAATGCTCAATATTTTGGCAGGCAGCATTGAAACATTGAACAATGATGGACAATGTCTAAGCAATGAATCACTTCAAATGCAAATTAAAATTCCAACATTGATAGAAGAAGTATCGAAAATTAAATTATCTGTTGAAGAATCAAATACATTTTTGGAAGGAGTAAAATATAATGGAGACATACTCAATCAAGAGTTAACATCATTGCAAGAAAAACTCAATGATTTGCAACATGTTTCATATGATGGAACATTTGTTTGGAAAATTACAAACTTTAAAGAGAAAATGAGTAAGTTGAACAATTATTTTTATACTCAATGATAAGAACAGAAAAGTTTATCAAAAGGATAACTAAAGAATAAAATGGGATTCGATTTCAATAATATCGACTCATAATAGATAAATGATTCAACATTACATATACATAAAAAAATCAACTGAATACAATCTGCTAGTAATCAATGGATGAATTCTCGTACATTTGATGAAAGAAATTTATAAATGTAAGTTAAAAGGTCAGGTTTTCCGTGTCCATCCATTACAGCAACCGAGGTTATAATCAATGAGTACATTTCCATAGTAATCAAGAACAACAGATGCCAGACTCTTTTTTTCTATTTAAATACCACCATTGATGGTGTCTATGTGAATCATCGGTAATGAATAACACTAAAAATATGAATTCATCAAGTTATAGCTTTCGGGACTAATCAATATCAAGTTTCCGAGATTATCGAGATACATAATAACACATCGATACATATTGTTGGATATAATAGATGCGTACAACAGAATTGTATGTTATTTAAATGAACAGCTAAAATAATCATGATAGTAATTTAAGAAAAATGAAAATAAATAACCAGCGTCCGCTACAAAAAATTTTCGAGATACAGAAATAAACAAGAAAGACTGCTTTCTTGACGATTAAAAAGACATGTGAGCCCCACATTTTCGCTTCGAAAAGTCTGTGCAGACAAACGATTTTGATTGATTTCTAGTTGATGCACAGTCGGAAAGACAAACATCCATTTATTCGCCGCCATTTTATTCATCTCCAAATGGCTATAGAATGAGAGCTCGTCTTTATTTAAATGGTGATGGCAATGCTCGTCGTACACATATGTCACTCTTTTTCGTGCTCATGCGAGGTTTGAACGATTCGACTCTCAAATTTCCATTTAACTATAAAGTCATATTTTGTTTGTACGACCAAACGCCTGAAAAACGACATATTATCGATTCATTTCGACCAGATATTAAATCGAATAGTTTTCAACGACCTCGATCGGATATGAATATAGCCAGTGGTATACCAAAGTTTTTCCCATTGTTGATGATTCAACAAGAAGGAAATCCATATGTACGAGATGACACAATGTTTATCAAAATTATGGTAGATTTCCAAGAAATACACAAAACATTATTGCCCTATATTTTGAGTATCAATCCGGGCCTACCAGCACATGTTCAACAAGCAATGATCAAGCAAGAAGCTGAACGAAGAATACAATTACGACCTGACGAGCAAGAATAGATACATCAAGAGTGATCTACTGTTGACTCTATGTCACGTATTGAAGCAATAATCAAGAATATCTTCTTTTGAAGTTATACAATTTTCTAAAATTTAAAATAAAATCAGATGTTAAATTAAACTTTTCTTGTGAAGATGTAGGTCAGATGTGTGTGTGTGATTTTTTCTTCGAATATCTACTCACACTCTCGTATTGCTTGACAACTTCTGGTGATGTCAATTGCTTGTGGTTGAATACAGAACTCAGTTGATACCTCAATTTGGTTGAGACAGTGCAAAGGCTAATGCTGATAGTAGCTCTCTATAAAGGAACAGCATATCAGAATGCATAAAATGACGTACTCGAAACTTGATAGAATTAAACTTGTTGATGTAGATATGACTCAATAAAGAACAAAATCATACTCACGCTCAAAACCACCTCACGTTAAAATAAAAGACTTCTTCATTCTAAATAGTCACAATTGTATGTAACAATTTGCAACAAATCGATTTGAATGGAGGTGACATTGGTAAGATGGAATTCATTTTATTTCTATTTATCTTTGAGGAAATTTAGTTAATCCAGTTGAACCACTCGAAATATTTTCAACTTTTTAACAAAAAAAAAGAACAAAAAATTAGATACAATAAATAAATAACGGTGTGACATTAGTTAAAAAGAGTGGAAATATAAAGAAATAATACTGAAATCTATTCGAATAATTATTTGACAGAAAAACGAACATATACATTACAATAAAATACCAACATTAAAAAACAAATATAGGTCAATCAACTTTAATTTGTAAAGAATCTATCAGCTAAAACCATTCATTCTTCTTGGATGAGTTATTATCTGCACTCCAATTGTATTGGTACGACGAGGCTGTATTATTTTCAAAGTTTTTAGATGCTGCAAGACTTCTTTTGTTGTTACAATGTAGGCAAATGGAGTGAATAAAAAAATCAAATAAGGTGTAAAATACAACCAAAGAATCAATACACTGGTAAGAAAATTCGGATAGAAGGCAAGACGAATTATTGCAAATGTTGACAAAGGAATTTGCGTGAATAAAAATACACATGCTATCACCAAAAGTTGAATGACCATTTTTCTTGTTCGACGCCAGTTGAAAGCTATGTTTAGTCGTCGTTTCTGTAAAATAACACGAACGAGCAATGATATGTTAAAAACAATTACAATCGCGACCGGTAAAAGAACACTGCCTATCCAATCGAGAGTTCCCAGCAAGATGTTTGACTGATAACAAGCGGAATTACATAAAAATACAGTGAAATCGAATGTATTCGTGCATGAATTGATGAGAACCAGTATTCCATACCAAACAATGGGTAGAATGCAGCAAAACGCCATTGGAATATAATGAAAGAAAATTCTTTGACACTGTAATCTCATCATTGTTTGCGAATAAAAGACCAATACGAATCGTTCAACACTTACAAAAGCCATACCAATATCGTTGATTGCTTGTAAAGTATAATTAATAAAAATCCAATATAGACACAATTGATCTGCATGAGGTTCCAATAAACCTTTTCGGAGAAAGCTCAATGTTATTGGTAGTTCAACGATTTGCAGGAGGAAACAACTGACCAAAATCAAGAGCATGCTATGATTTGGTAGACGACGCAATTCACGTTCACGAAAAACACAATAGAATATGAAGATACAACAGAGCACAGAAACTATTTGAAGACTTTGTAAAATATAATATTTCACAAGGCGAGTCGTCGGTGTTTCGAAAACGCCAGCGTCCGATATATCGTCGGTCCAGTTATTCATGATAGGTTTCAATCGAAGAAAAACTTTTCTCGTCTTTTATGTGAGGAGCTCTTAGTTAGGTCTGAGAAGTGTTACAATGAGTCTAGAAAAAAATACATTCAAGTAATGTTGTGATGCTTACTTGACATTGGATTCTAAGATTTTCCTATCGATAAAAACGATGCTAATTCATCATTCGAAATAGCCTACTCCAACACGATTCATTTATTTAGCAATTAATGTCCTATACACTCGTATTTATCTAATTAGAGTAGGTTCAAAGTGAGTAGGAATTGGAACGATAAAGAATAATGAATGATGCTACACATGAAATCAATCCGAGTCATTTCATGATAAAATCTTTTATGGTTCTGATTTCAATACCAGAAGATCCCGCACCTACGCTCTCATTATAGAAATTCTATTAGAATCATTTTTATGGAAATTGAGCTCTAACATGTCAATTTGATATCGAAATTTGAGATTAATTTTTGGTTGAACATGACTCGCGTAAATATATTATTTTTGTTTTCATTTCCTTTATAGATCTCATTAAAAGAAAATTTCTAAAAATCTTTACAAAAAGAATTACCGTTTAACCTCAAGTTCCATTTGACACTCAACAACTTGTAGCTACTTCGATGATCATTATTAAAATGCATGAAACAAACACTGCACTCACTTATCTTAGAATAGTGTATAAAGTGTGAGGCTAACCTTACCGATAGATGCTATATACGATAGTTTATCGAAGAAAGCAGATTGAAATGATTCACACATGACAATATCAAATTTTACCTCCGTCAGACAATGAGAGTTCGAACAACAAGACAAACAATATTCTTTTCTAATATGTAACTAAACCAATTTCTCTTGATGTTGAATGTCTCTAAGATTTATCTAGCTTACTAGTAGCTTTCATTTTATGTCCGACTCAAAAAAAAGCTTCTTATTTAGTTAAATTAACCAATTTTTTAGAATGCTTTAATCTTCTGTATTTTTTTCTATAAAAAAAAGCGTTGAATCCAAGATTCTGTAATTACGTATATATTTGACTTTCCAGTTCAGTAATTTGCATCTCCTAATTAGACACTTTACCTTCTATAGCGATTCGAGAGGAGCTAATGATAGGGCAGATCGACCGAATATTTTATTTTTTGTAAAGTGTAATCGATTACTACAGTAACTATTTGAGTAAAGAGGAAATTTTTGGCACATATTTACAAAAGAAAAACATAATAGCCACTGAAGATAATTAATCCATGCTAAATGTTATTTCAATTTCTCAAGTGATAAGATCTACAAAAAATATAATTATGATGGTTGTCATCTTTCTGTGTCTCACCAATTGTGGTTCCAAGGTCCATCTTGCGTCTTATCGTCTCTTTTTACCAGGCTATTGTGAAACTGTCGAAATTCATCCAATCAACAAGTAGATACCTTCATCAATCTAAAGTAAATAACATCCCCTTGAAACTACTGAAATGAACTGAGATATATTACTTTCGACTATGGTAATTATTGTACATAACTTTACTAGGAGTTTTATGGCATTAAACTAAACAATAAGAATTCTTGGCATCATGTTGACAAATCAGATCCTGTTTATGGTCAGTACTTTTGAAAAAAACAAAAAGGAAATGAGAAAAAGAAGACCAAATGTTTATCACGTTCTTCGTTCACTCTGCTATGTTTTATGACACAAGTATCAGCAAAGTTGATTTACATTTTTTTTTGCTAGTAATCAAACGCTTTTTAATGATTGACGAAGACTAGCTCCACATAAAATAAAGGACGGAACAAAAATTTTGTATTAATTTTTCTTTTGATGTATTGTTGCAACGAAATATAGCATAGATCTCATTTTCTTGCTGTTAGCAAAAGCAGACTCTGTATTGCAAAATATTATATGAAATAAAAGCTTATTCAGTCTTCTATCATACGATATTATTCGGAATAGAATACAGAGTATCTGTAAGATAAACAACCAAACATTTTTCGTGTGGTAAAGTTTTTTAGTCACTTTGTATGCTAGACCGATAATTTTAATATCAGAAGAAAATCTTCATTGTAATAAACAAGATGCTCGAAAATGTCTACGGTGGATAATGAAAAAGTTCCTCTCTCGTGATATATAACAATAAGAATTGAATAACTTATATAAGACATACAATATAATAAGACACCTCTATAAGGTGGTAAAATACTATAATATTCTTTCATGTTTGAATTATTTTTAGTTTGTCTATAAAAAAAATGATTTAACGTAAACTGTACAATGGAAAACTTAATGGAAAACATGTTAATGATATAGATAAAAATATTTTTCTTAAATATATATATATCCGTTAAAATAAGTGTTTAAGATGAGTAATGATGTGTATCTAAACAACATAATTATTTTTTGTAATTAAAATAATTCTATCAGAAAATTTTGGTGCATATTGTGGCATGTTTTAAAGAGAAATTAATAGTAAAGAAAAAAAAAAAGAAATCTTCTACTGTAAATGTAAACATCATTCATATATATATATTAATATAAACCATGTCTTATTTTGTTCCTACTAAAAATGTTTGTTGATTTTAAATCAACTATTTTTTTAATAAAAAAATGCACGAGTTTAAGTGCATTTCACGTAAAAATTGCGTATATATTTTAATCAGTTGCGTGACTACAAAGATAGGATCTACAACAACATAGATTTTAGACCGTCCGATTGGGTTTGATGTACTCAGACCAGTACTCATATGAGTTGTCAAAAGTCTACATCTGTTCTATCTCTGACCTGAAATGGAGCAGATTCATATGCTTTTCTTTTGAATTAATAAATGTTCAAGTCTAATAAATTTTATTGATGTTCACAAAAAATTTTATGTACGTCTAGATGTATGGAAAATTTTTAATGATGTTTACTAACTAGCATCATATTGATGTTTATTTAAAACATAATATAGAAAACAAAGGTAGTGACCTAAATTATCAATCTCTGTTTCTCATTGATAGCAAGGTACTGAAGGAAACTTTTTGCACCTTTTGAATTGTATATAATTTATTTTTAAAACATGCTCTGAAATGAAACGATGCAAAAGAAAAGAGAAACATGAATCAGCATTTTGTACTATCGGAGTGAGCTAACTTCAAGATAAACCCGTAGAAAATATCACAAAAATAAAAGGATATTGGTATATCAAGATTTGATTTAATGTGTTTCAATAATGCTGATTGCTTTTTATA